GCTGCGCGGCGTGGCCAAAAACAAAAAAAAAGAAGAAATTTGAACATAGAAGTGCACACACACAGGGAACATACCATGTGAAAGTTGGAGTTATGCTACCACAAGCCAAGGAGCTCCAGAAGCCAGGAGAGAAGCCTGGAGCAGATCCTTCCCAAGAGCCTTCAGAGGGAACACGACCCAGCTGACACCTGGATCTTGGACTTCTGGCCTCGAGGACTGGGAGGCAATACATTTCCGTTGTTCTAAGCCACCCAGTTGTGATGCTTTGTTACGCGGTCTCAGCAAACAAATACACTGACACAGGGACAGTCTCCTTGACCGCTCTAAGCCTCAGTTTCCTCTTCTGCTGCAGCTGAGGCTGCTATTAAAGTACTTGCCTCTGAGCTGGCCTGAGGGGGTGGGCACACAGAGTGTTCGTTAAACCTTTCTGGACTGTTGTGATCAGCTGCCCTCCAAGAAGCCAGAGACTGTAGGTTTTGGCTCTGCTCTCCTTTGCAGGGTTCTGATGGGGTGTGGACATTCCAGACACAAACCTGATGGTAACTGCCCCATGGGACGGCTTACTCGGCCCAGAGGCCACCCCAATAACTTCAGATCCTCAGCCCTGAGAAACAGCAGAGCTCATGGTTGGAGATGTAAACTCTGGAGCCAAACTGCCTGCAGTTAAGTCCACACCTGCCATGTGTTCGCTGTGTGGCCTTGGATAATCCATTCATCCTTTCTGTGCCTCAGTCTCCTCAACTGTAAAATGGGGTTACCCAACGAACCTAGCTCATGGGGTAGTTCTGAGAAGCACATGAGTTAATATTTGAATGGACTCAAAACTAGTAGGTGCTGTGTACATGTTTGTTAAATAAAATTTAAAATAGAATCTGCCTAAATATTCTAAATAACAACCACCATTCACAGCAGGGGTTTCTTTGGAAGGAATAGGTCCACACGAAAACTTGTGCATCAGTGTTCACAGCAACGTTATTCATAATAGCCCCAGATTTGAAACAATCTAAATGTCCATAGGCTTGTGAATGGATAAACAAATGTGGTCTATCCACATAACGTGAATATTATTCAGCCACAAAAAGGGTGGAAATACTGATAGATTCTACAACCTGGATGAACCTTGAAAATATTATGCTAAGTGAGAGAAGTCAGTCACAAAAGGCCACATAGTGTATGATTTCATTTATATGAAATGTCCAAAATAGGCAAAACCATAGACAGAGAGTAGATTAGTGGTTGTCAAGGGCCAGGCCCGATGGGGAAGTTTAGGAGATAATGATTAAAGGGTATGGGGTTTCTTTCTGGGGTGATGAAAATGTTCTAAAACTGACAGTGGTGATGTTGCACAACTCTATGAATATACTGAAGACCCTTGATTTGGACCCTTTTCTTTTATCATCTCTATTGGAGTATAACTGCTTCACACTGGTGTGTCAGTTTCTGCCCTACAACAAAATGAATCAGTTACACATATATACATATGTTCCCATATCTCCTCCCTCCCGCGTCTCCCTCCCTCCCACCCTCCCTATCCCACCCCTTCAGGCGAGCTGATCTCCCTGTGCTATGCGGCTGCTTGATTTGGACCCTTTAAATGGGTGAATTGTATGGTAGGTGAGTTATAGCTCATAAAAGCTGTTAAAACAATAAATGATAATAATACACTTAAGGGATATTTCACGAGCATTAAACAACAGGCCAGGCTCTGTCCGGGTACACATGTCCCTTCACTTAATCCTCACTTCAGCTCTCTGAGGAGCAGAGGCCTTTGTTATCTCCATTTCACAGGTAAGAAACTGGAGCAGGGACCCAGCCTGGAGGATCCGGCTCGTAACCTCCACCCATTCAGGAGAAGAGCCCAGATGAGGTGGAAATCATTCACAACAGGCTGTAGGCTGACCAGAGAGTGGCCTTCAGGGCTCAAGTAACCACAGTCCACAGTCCAAAACATGGTCTTTGCGTTCTACATACTGGGATCTCCACAAAGACCCCCCACCTTCGGGGACCCCACATTCAAAGGGACAAGGGATTCTCTCCAACCCTGGATAGGCAGCTGCCTCCATTGTCTTAATTGTATTCCTCTGCTTACCAAGATAATACAAGCTCATTGTTTTGAACCCAATAATACAGAATACTATCAAGAAAGGAGAAAGCAAAGGTCCCTAGAATTCCATCCTTCAGAAACAGAATTCACGTCAAGGAATTTGGCCCAAGGAGCGAGATACCCACTCAGTGGATTAGTTACATTTTTGACATGAAAGAGAGAAATCATTTTTTTTTTATTTTAAGCTGGATCTAGAAAGGTTGCCTTAGTACTATTTTATAACCAATTCCACAAACCCAGTTTCAGTGGTTTGTGAACTTCAGTGGTTTGGTGGATTTCTGAAGAAGTGAAGGGGTGCTTTGATTCTCAAGTCAGTTTTGTTAAACAGAAAAACCAAAAGCCAGCTTGTCTGGTCACTCGGATGTGGTCAAAATAGCTGAGTTCATCCGAAACTTCCCTGGCATCTGACCCAAACTGAGGGCAAGTGTTTAGCTGAGAAACAAAGACCGACATTAAGTGCAGAAAAACCCTTTTGTGCCCGCACAGCGAGCAAGTTATGTTGAGTTATGCAGCTATTCTGGGGACAATGATGTTCTGTAAACAGTCGGCAAAGTGGCTTTGTCGACAATGTTGGGGCAGTTTGGGGCCCTTTCACCGACAAGGACTGTATGGAGATAAGGCGACATAGTATTTGAAAAATACAAATGACAAATTAGTACAATACAGATAATAAATATCTGAAAACTTTTGTTTCCTGTTGTACCCACAAGCATTTATCCATCAACCCCTAGAGATTGTTAACAGCTAGGGGAGTAAACTGAGTCAATTATGGAACTCAAAGCTGACAAAATACACTTCACATATTCCAACAGTCCTATTAATACAATCTTAAGTGCTAAGTCTTAAGTCTTAGCAGGCATTTTTATTTTAAAATGCAATGATTGTAAATATTTTTTTGAGAATCCTAAACATACTAAATTAAATTTACATTTATTAAGCCCATGCAATAATAAAAATTTGCTAGTTTTCCATTCTACAGTCGTTTGTCTCAGCTTCTTGGCTTCGTGGCTTTCTGGGCCATAGGTTATCCCAGAAAAGTGGGGACAGTGTCTCTCTTCTATTGAGTGAACGAGTGAACGAATGAATGAGTCCTAGGGTCAGAATATGTGAGCTGTCTGGAGCCTTAGACAGAGAATGATTATTTATATTTAGCTGCCATTTATTGTCCACTAAGTATAGACCAGGCCCTGTGCTGGCCACCTCCCCTCCCCCACCCCCCACCACACATGCACTACAATCACCTTCGATCCTGATTACAACCTTATGAGGTGCCTATAACCAGTCCTATTTCACAAAGGAAGAAATGGGGGCTCAGAGAAATTCAGTGACTTTCTAAAGACACACAGCCAGAGCACAGCCAGGCAACGGCAGGGACGCAGCACTTCTGACTGCACATCCCTAAGTCTCTGGGGTGTCCCACCCCCATTACAAATGAAGGAAAGTCAAACAGCCACAGACAACAACACAATAACGGTAACAATAACAGTAATAGCATTTGGTCTGTGCCAGACCTTGTACTGGGAGCTTTACATGTGTTGACTCAATTAATCCACAACAGACCCCCAGATTTGGAAACCATGTAATCCTCATTTTAGAGACGGAAAGTGCAGGCTCAGAGAGGTTAAGTAACTTGCCCAAGGTCACCCAGCTTGTCAGTACAAGCCCAGGCCTGCTCCTGCTTCTTTCCTGACCTGGAACCATCTACACATTACAGCACGACATGTATGGATTACTGCAATGATGCTTTTTCATCTTTTATGTGACATACGTAGGTAGATTCATAGAATAGGTTAGGGGAGGACACACACACAGAGCTGTCAACTGATATCAAAGTCCTCTGAAAGAAGGCTGGGATTAAGCAACCAAGGGTGGGATGAGGACAATGGGGGTGGATTCTGGTGTTTCTTTCACTTTCAGTACAATCACTTAAAACACCATATGGTGTAATAACATGGACAGCTGCATTTAGTGAGCACCTACTGTGTGCCAGGCACTGAGCCAGAGGCACCGGGCACTATTTCATTCACTCCTCACCACAACCCCATAGCACTGCCTCTGTTTTACTGGGGAGGAAAGCTCTGAGAGGCAGAGTGATTGGCACCAAGAAGGAAACCCACGTCTGCCTGTCCCCAGCACCTGCCCCACGGTGCCCAGACCACTGATCCAGGAGGGCCTGGGAGACAATTCTATGTTGCATAATTAGACAACTGCTCTCAGACCCTTCCTGCCCACACGTGCCCCCTCTCCCCCTGGTCTCAGCTTCCTTGAAGGGGAGGGGAGGGGGTGTGTGAGCAGAGGGAGGACATGGGGGGTGTTGTGGCCCTGGAATTACCCCCTTGTCCCCGAGCAGGTCCAAGCCCGGCTCTACCTCTTCCTGGCCACAGAACTTAAGGCCATTCCTTCACCTGTCTGAGCTTTGGTTTAATGGAGGTAAAATGAGAATAATAAGAGCTTCTGGGAATTAAACAAACAACGTATGTAAACTTAGCAAACCCTCAGTGAATGGCTGCTGTTATCACCCTCATTAGAATATGTACCATTATTATTATTATTATTATTATTATTATTACTATCAGTACACAAAACGACAGCCAGCAAACAACTCGGCCCTTGATATCCTTGTTTTCTGACAAAGGAGACCAAGATGCAAACAGATAAGCTTCAGTAAGGAAAAGAAAGAAAGACCTTGTGTTTGGGTCAGTGGGCAAGGGTTCTAGAAGTTGTGGGGAAAGGTGGGATGGCCTGGTTAGAAGCTGGACCCACCAGGTTAGTGGAGTAGCTCATTAATTCCTTCTGATCTGGGGATCCAAGGGTCTCCGTCTCCCTCCCATCATAGCTGACCTCTTGTTTCCCTCTAACTGTTACACAAGGGGCCCCAGGGTCAGAGGTCACTCACCGCCATGACCAACTCAAATGGGTACTTGTAGACGCAGACAGGAGACTGGTACTTCTGCACCATGTTCTCGCAGGACCACCAGCGGAAGCCAGCCAGGCAGGAATGGGCACAGAGCCTGGGTGAGGGTATCTGGTGAGGGAGCAGCTCCCTCCACGGGAAGCAGGAACCCTGCCCACTGCTCCCCCAGCAAGGGGCAGGCCCATCGCTCTGGCCCCATCCGCACATCTCCCCAGACCTCAAAGCAAAGGGGCCGATGTGATCCCCAAATTACTTTGGGCCATGCCCCAAACACTTGCCCGGTCCATTACTCAATGCCCCAGACCACACTCACTCCTCAGGAGCAATCAGTACCCCCAAACGTTCCTCCATCCTCATGCTGAGGGCCCCCGGAAAAACCCATAAAGCCACCCACCTGGAAACACACACATTCGCAATTCTTACACTCCCACAATTCATTCACCCACTGCACCCCACAGCTTACCATGGGCGTCCCGACCCTGCAGTTCCCCCAAGAATCACTGCACCTGCCCTCCCATTTTCCTCCAAGACACCCTAACATACGCACACAGTCTTCACCAAATTTCACACGCACTGTCTCTGCCACACACGCGCACACATGCACGACTCCCCTCCCACACGGGACCGCCCTTGCATACGCACTCAACTTTGCACACACGCCCAGCTCCCTGGAGCACGCACCTACTCAACTCCATGCTCGCACACAGCATCCCCTCTAGGATGCGCATAGAGGTTCACACACACGCACACACACTGATGCATGCGCCCACACGCATGCACGCACAGGTCCCCCGAAGCCCCGCTCACCCTAGCCCTCGGAGTCTCCGAGACGCAGCCCCGCGGCAGCACGGAGCTGAGCCCGCCCGGATCCCCCGCGGCCGCCTGGCCCAGAGCGCAGCACCTGGGGCGGGGCGCAACCGCGATCGCTGGACCCTGCAGTCCGGGCCGGCGATCGCCGAGCGTGGGGCGTCCTGACCAGCACACCCTGCGTCCGGGCCGGTCAGGGAGGGGCCTGCGGGAGGGGGGAGCGCTCCGGGACCCAGGACAGCGGAGATCCCGGCCTGGCCTGGCCCCGCCCCCGCCCTCCCTCTCCGCTCAGCCCCGGCCCCGCCCAGATTTACCCCCTGGACAGGCCCCGCCCCAGACTGGCCCCACCCCAGCCTTAGCCCCTCCCTTCATTTTATGCATCCTTGTTTGACCGCGCCCCCACCCCGGCCCTTTCTCCAGACTGGCCACTCCTCATGCAGGCCACGCTTCCATAGGGTCCCGCCCCTAAAGCACGCAGCCTCAGGGGTGGCTCAGCCCCAGGAAGACCCCGCCCCAAGGCTCCAACCCCAGTCTAGCTCAGCTCCCAGGCGAACCCTTGCCCCGCCCAGCCCCGCTGGCCCTAGTACAGTTCACGTTTGGCCCCTTCCCTAACTCGGGTCAACCCCCTCCTCCTGGGCTCTGAGTCTGCTCCCTCCACTGGCTACGCCCCAGAGCCCTTCTGGCCCTGCCCTAAGACGCCAGCTTGCATCTTTCATTCACATGCTTGCTTTTACAGAGCTCCTGCTAAGTGTCAGGCCTTTCTAGGCGCTGGAGAGTCATCAGTGAACACAACAGGTAAAAAATCCTTGCCCTCGTAGAGTTTACATTTCAGTGGGGGAGACAGACATTAAATAAATAAGGCAAATATATAGTACTATGTGAGATGGGGGGAAATACCAAGGTGAAAAAATAACCAGGGAAGGGATTCAAGAAGCGAGCGGAGTGAGGGTACAATTTAAAACAGGGTGGACTGGGGCTTCCCCGGGAGGGTGACGATTTCCCATCCTTCTCACTTTAGCTCACAAGTAAACCCTCCCGGTCCTCCCAGGATCCCGGGGACCCAGCCTTCCTTCCATAGCCCTCCCTTCCCTCTCCCCATCTGTTTGTCCTGGAGGAGCCAAGAAGCTGGCTCTGGACAGCCTTGTCATCCGTGTATTCATTCACTTGACATTTACTAAGCCCCTACTATGTGCCAGCACTGTGTGACTTCACCCATTTGCAAGAGGGAGTCAGACAAGCTGCCTGCCCTTGCGTGGCCCACAGTTCTGGGCAGGGAGAGTGTGTACAGGGAGACAGACAGCGCTCTGTTTAGCAAATATATGGTTGCAGCTTGTGATAAAGAGCCCGTTTGCTTCCTTCCTAGCGTGTGTCACACTCTGTAATCACCTTATTTATTCATTCATTTTATTTATTTGTAGGTCTGACCCAGGAGACTGTGAGCTCCGCAAGGGCAAGAAACCGTGTCTGTCTTATTCATCTGCCCCACGTCCGCAGGATCTTACTGGGGACATGGAACACGGTAAGTACTCTGCGTTTTCTTGGTTAAGGTTATCAAGAATGGAAATGGAGCACACGGTTCCCATCCCTGCCACAAGGTGGCAGCAAACGACAGTCCATGGCTCCTGGGGTCGCCACCAAGGGGAATTGTCGAGGAAGATGGGAGTCCGGGGTGTATCGCTGGACCCGGGGTTCATCAGGGAAACTCATGCTCCTCCTGGGCGTCAGTGCAGGACGCGTAGTGAGCATTCACACAGTTGGCCGTTGTTACAGCACGAAAGGCATTGAGTTGGCACAAAGTAACCACAAATTGGGATGTTTACACCTGGAAAGGTGGGGCGGAGCAATCTATCCCAAACTCTCCAACTCCTAAGACTTCCCTCAGCAGGGTGCATGTTGAAATCCCGTGCACTGCTCGAAGAGCCTGGGAACGTGCTTGTTTAACAAGCTCCCCAAGTGGCTCTTCTAAGCGGACAGGCCTGGCGGTGTGGGGGGATCTTGGAGGTCATTCCTAGCGCCTGGGGAATCCCAGGGTGCTTGGAGTAAATGCCAGCCCTGGGGAGGGAGCCGGTGCGCTCTCTTAAGTGGGGGAGGTCCGCTCGCAAGAGCTCCTCCCAGTTGTGGGCGTGCTCACGCTCCTATTATACTTTTCCACCCAGGCTGAATCGTCCTGGCCACACCACTCGTGTCTTCTTGGCCACAGAAGGTGGCAGCTTGGGGGTGTAGGAGCTGGCGTGGGAGATAAAGGGGTTGGGGGCAAGAAAAGTCACGAGGAGCGGAGGAGAGGCCCTGAGACTGCGGGGAGTCTCCAGGTCTCCTGGCTACCATCAGTGCCGCCCCTGCCCGCAACTGGTGAGGAGGCCACTGGGTTGGGGGGGGAAGGGGTGCGACCGCTGCGTGGGTACAGAGAGCTCAAAGTGGAAAATGGGGCCTAGAAGGGAATGAGAGTCTCGCTCCCTCCTCCTCCAGCCAAGAGAGGCGAATTAGTAATAGCACCACCTGCCACGTGCTTCCTATTCCGTTTTCCTATCAATCACTCCTACAGTTTATTGAGCACTTACTTGGCACGTGCTGTATCAGGCACAGTTCGAAGGCTTTACAAACATTCACACATGTAATCCTCAAAAATAACCCCTGTAGGGATGAAAATGTTTTTGCACTCCACAGAGGTGGTGGTTGCGCAACACTGCGAATGCACTAAATTGCCACTAACTTGTATGCGTTAAAATGGTTACTTTTATGTTATATAACTATACCTAAATGAAAACAAACAAAGCAAAAAACCTTTTAAGACCAAGACTCTGTTGATCCTTGTTATAAAGACAAGGAAACTAAGGCACAGGGAGGTTGAGTAACTTGCCCTAGGTCACACAGCTAGTAAGGAACTCAAACCCAGGACTTCTTGCCCCAGGGCTGCAGCGGAAGTACCCAGAAGATGTGATTTCCCAGCCTGAGCTGCAAAGATATCCAGGCATCCTGGTTCGGGACTGAGGAGGTACCAAAAGAATGGGCTGATTCCATGGGAACACTTGGAGGCATGAAGTCAGTCTCAGGGGCAGGACGTTCAGCCTCTATCTGCCGCTTCCTTCTTGCCCTGTGAGAATGACCGAGCCACAGCTGCCTTTTGGTATGGTGGGTTTTGAAGACTCCAGAAACCACCTCACATGTTTGAATATCTTCCCACAGTTGGGCCACTGCCACAGGAAATTCAGCCATCAGTAATGCATTTATTTGAGTAAAACACTGGGCCCAATCCAAACACAGATGCCCCCAGAAGGCATCCTGCAGGGAAATGTCCTCGGAAAGCTTAATGTGACACTGCGGGGAGGGGGCGGGGGAGCTGGTGGGGAGTGAGAGGGTCCAGAGTCCAGACCCTTGAGGGGACACAAGTGGCCCTTGATCTGGGCCCTAGAATACATGAAGGCCCTGGGAGGGTGCTGAAGCTGGAGAGAGTGGAACATTTTTTTTATTATGATAAAACATACATAACATAAAAATTACAAATTTTAACCATTTTCAAGTGTACAATTCAGTGGCTTTTAGTACATTCACAAGGCTTTGCATCCATCACTGCTGTCTAGTTCCAGAACATTTTCATCACCCCAAAAGAAAACCAATACCCATCAAGCAGTCACTCCTCCTTCCTCCCTCCCCCCAGCTCCAGCAACCCTCAGTCTGCTTTCTGCATCACATCTCATTTGTCCTGGGCTGCTCCTAATCCTGTTCCTTCTTCCTCCTCCCAAGAGCGGAGCTCAGAGACCTCCTAGATTGGGGACCTTCCAGGGCCATCAGGGTCATGGGCAGTGTGGCCATGTACAGGTGTGCAGGTTGTAGCCTGCACAACTCTGTGTGGTTGTCCTGGTCATTGGGCAACTTTAACTGAGCGGAGGCTGAGTCCAGGGGAGCCTCACCCAGAGGGCCACACAGCCAGGCCCCACCCACCTCAACCCCCAGCCCACCCCCAAGTCCAGTCACTTCCACACAGGCTTTGGGATTCCAGCAGGCGCTACATGTGGAGTTGGGGTCCAAAGGCAAGTAAAGCCTCTGAGCCCCAGGAGCTCTCAGCGAGGAGGGGAGGAAGTGAAAGGAAGGTAGGATGCCCCAGGGGAGTCAGCAGGGAGCTAGGGAGGGGGCTGGGTGGCAGAGTGGTGAGCACCGGGTGCCGGAGTCACGTTGGCCTGGGTGTGAGTTCTGGCTCTGTTACCTTCCAGTGTCCCTGCAGTGTATGTGGCTGCAGTGTC